TTATGAAAAACAAAAACAAAGAAAAGTGAAAGATGAGATGAGCTAGTCTTGAAACAAATCAAGAGGTGTGAAGGAAAAGCAACTCCTCCCCGGCAACGGCGCCAGAAAGCTTGATGGCGGGTTTAGATTGCCTCAAATTTTCACAATTTATAAACCCAACTAATGAGCTGCAAGTGCACAGCCGTGTTGTAGTCGGGGTCGAACACGAGGAGGAAGTGTTCTCACTGTGAGATTGGTTTGTAGCTAGCTCGCAATATGAGGTGGTTTTGGACCTAGAATGAGAAAAAAAACAAAAGAAATGTGAGTGAGTTTGTAAACAATTTAAAACAAGAGTTAGGCAAAGGACAATCATATGGAGCAATGATGAAAAGATAGTTGCATGGGATGTGTGTAGAGCCGTCTTGAACATGAATCACTAGTGTATGGTCTTTCCACTGTCGTGGCTCCAACCACTATGTTTAAAACAACCTAATATACTCAGCTTTCGTTGGCTATTAGAATTGCAAACATGCATTACAAGGTTCAAGATTCAATTGTTCACAATAAACCATAACTCAGCTTTCGTTGGCTATGATCTATTGCTCACCAAATACTAGTTTTGAGATCTAGATTCAGCACTGTCGTGGTTCTATTTCTCTAAGATCAGATTACTAGATGTACGGTAGAGTAATCATGCATTAAGCTCAAGTAAAGGTGAAGATCCATAAGATAAATCCCAATAAGTTGCAACACAATCAAATCATCACGGCCACCATAGATCTCCTCGGCCTAACTAAGAGATCTACTCGGCCATGATGCAAACAAGCAAGCAAAGCATGATTGTAAACATTATGCAAGTATTAAAAGAGATAAAGGGATGAAGAAAGCTTCTCTATTGATGAACAAAGTCGGATTCTCCCTTGAAAACTCTTAAATCAAGTTTATAGAAATGGAAACAATGAAAAAGAAAGAACAAGAGTTGAGCGGCGCCTCCTTCTTCTTGGACGATCTCCTAGGGCTTCTCTCCTCTGACTCTCTTCTCACACGTACACTCTTTGATAATTTTCGGACTCGACTCGATCTCTTCTTCAGCGGCTAAAAACATGTATATATGGGCGAAGTCGCGTAGGGTTTTCTTCATGCCGGAAAAGGAAAGTTTCCCGCGAGCAAAGCCTTCTTCTCCACGTCGTGTATGGGCCGACATTGTACCAAGGAAAGCTCCAAACATTAGCCAGGCCTCTTCTCTATTCGATCAAGGCCTTTGGCGCTGCTGCTCGGGCCATTAGACACTCCAAATCCTCCATGGGCTTCGTTTACTCGCTTACCGGACATGTCTCGGTAGAAAATAAGTCTAGGCCTCATAGTTGATCCAAATGGCTTCATTCCACTTCGACGTGATGCATGACTCAAGTATCTATCTTTCCATATCAAGATCGTAACTTTTGGACGTCGGGAACTCCTCCGCGCGCGGCCAAACTTCCGAAGCTTCGTTCTGCGCGCAAGCGAGAACTAACACTTGGAGATAAAATGATCTTCTTGACTTGGAAACTTGCATGGATCTTGATTTAGGGCTCTTTTACTCCTTTTTGCATCCTTTTTGATTATTTCACCTACAAAGACTTCAAATCCCACAAATACAAGAAAACTACCTCTAAAGGCAAAGAATCTTGCAAAAACCGTTTGAAAACATAAGTAATTATATAGTAAAATCATGTAAAATATGGTGATATCAACTACCAAGTTCTCCACCAACGCTTCTCAAGTTTACCGATGTGGGACTTATTAAATATTCTAAATAATCTTGAGAATTCATATTGAATTTCAATGAGCCATCTAAACCCAAGTTTACAATTGGTGATAGACTATACCTTTCAAAATTATTATTTTCAACCGTGAAGTGAATAAAACAGTCTGTGTTTTGTTTCTTGTTGTTTTGAAGTCTTGCTTCAGACATGAAACTCAAATCTCCAACAAGAATAATCAAAAAAATTAAATCAAGGAGAGGATTAGAGTCGAAATCCGTGTGAACAAGTATTTCACAGCAAAAACATTGATGAACATGGCTAACCAACCCAGGATATACATTTATTTTTCTTTTATATATTATTCATTGTATTTTTTGTATGGCTAACTTTTATAAACCAACCTTTAATTTATGAACTTTCTCAAAAATTACTGGTTAAGAGAAAATGTTGAAATATTTATTTGGCGGGTTAAGCCAGGCCCATGTAGTAGTGCAATACATAGGCGACTCTCGAGAATCCAGATAGCAAGCTACCTTAATGGATTTTCTCCCTTAAAAAATAGAGTTAATATCGTGTGGGCCGATGACCCACATATCAGATATTAAACTGATAAGAACAGATACTACACTTGATCTTAGCCAAAAGGCCGAGAAAGGTATGATTTGTAAGTTGGCATAGATACTCTTTTTATACTACCAAGTTCTCCACCAACGCTTCTCAAGTTTACCGATGTGGGACTTATTAAATATTCTAAATAATCTTGAGAATTCATATTGAATTTCAATGAGCCATCTAAACCCAAGTTTACAATTGGTGATAGACTATACCTTTCAAAATTATTATTTTCAACCGTGAAGTGAATAAAACAGTCTGTGTTTTGTTTCTTGTTGTTTTGAAGTCTTGCTTCAGACATGAAACTCAAATCTCCAACAAGAATAATCAAAAAAATTAAATCAAGGAGAGGATTAGAGTCGAAATCCGTGTGAACAAGTATTTCACAGCAAAAACATTGATGAACATGGCTAACCAACCCAGGATATACATTTATTTTTCTTTTATATATTATTCATTGTATTTTTTGTATGGCTAACTTTTATAAACCAACCTTTAATTTATGAACTTTCTCAAAAATTACTGGTTAAGAGAAAATGTTGAAATATTTATTTGGCGGGTTAAGCCAGGCCCATGTAGTAGTGCAATACATAGGCGACTCTCGAGAATCCAGATAGCAAGCTACCTTAATGGATTTTCTCCCTTAAAAAATAGAGTTAATATCGTGTGGGCCGATGACCCACATATCAGATATTAAACTGATAAGAACAGATACTACACTTGATCTTAGCCAAAAGGCCGAGAAAGGTATGATTTGTAAGTTGGCATAGATACTCTTTTTATACTACCAAGTTCTCCACCAACGCTTCTCAAGTTTACCGATGTGGGACTTATTAAATATTCTAAATAATCTTGAGAATTCATATTGAATTTCAATGAGCCATCTAAACCCAAGTTTACAATTGGTGATAGACTATACCTTTCAAAATTATTATTTTCAACCGTGAAGTGAATAAAACAGTCTGTGTTTTGTTTCTTGTTGTTTTGAAGTCTTGCTTCAGACATGAAACTCAAATCTCCAACAAGAATAATCAAAAAAATTAAATCAAGGAGAGGATTAGAGTCGAAATCCGTGTGAACAAGTATTTCACAGCAAAAACATTGATGAACATGGCTAACCAACCCAGGATATACATTTATTTTTCTTTTATATATTATTCATTGTATTTTTTGTATGGCTAACTTTTATAAACCAACCTTTAATTTATGAACTTTCTCAAAAATTACTGGTTAAGAGAAAATGTTGAAATATTTATTTGGCGGGTTAAGCCAGGCCCATGTAGTAGTGCAATACATAGGCGACTCTCGAGAATCCAGATAGCAAGCTACCTTAATGGATTTTCTCCCTTAAAAAATAGAGTTAATATCGTGTGGGCCGATGACCCACATATCAGATATTAAACTGATAAGAACAGATACTACACTTGATCTTAGCCAAAAGGCCGAGAAAGGTATGATTTGTAAGTTGGCATAGATACTCTTTTTATACTACCAAGTTCTCCACCAACGCTTCTCAAGTTTACCGATGTGGGACTTATTAAATATTCTAAATAATCTTGAGAATTCATATTGAATTTCAATGAGCCATCTAAACCCAAGTTTACAATTGGTGATAGACTATACCTTTTAAAATTATTATTTTCAAACGTGAAGTGAATAAAACAGTCTGTGTTTTGTTTCTTGTTGTTTTGAAGTCTTGCTTCAGACATGAAACTCAAATCTCCAACAAGAATAATCAAAAAATTAAATCAAGGAGAGGATTAGAGTCGAAATCCGTGTGAACAAGTATTTTCACAGCAAAAACATTGATGAACATGGCTAACCAACCCAGATATACATTTATTTTTCTTTTATATATTATTCATTGTATTTTTGTATGGCTAACTTTTATAAACCAACCTTTAATTTATGAACTTTCTCAAAAATTACTGGTTAAGAGAAAATGTTGAAATATTTATTTGGCGGGTTAAGCCAGGCCCATGTAGTAGTGCAATACATAGGCGACTCTCGAGAATCCAGATAGCAAGCTACCTTAATGGATTTTCTCCCTTAAAAAATAGAGTTAATATCGTGTGGGCCGATGACCCACATATCAGATATTAAACTGATAAGAACAGATACTACACTTGATCTTAGCCAAAAGGCCGAGAAAGGTATGATTTGTAAGTTGGCATAGATACTCTTTTTATACTACCAAGTTCTCCACCAACGCTTCTCAAGTTTACCGATGTGGGACTTATTAAATATTCTAAATAATCTTGAGAATTCATATTGAATTTCAATGAGCCATCTAAACCCAACTTTACAATTGGTGATAGACTATACCTTTCAAAATTATTATTTTCAACGTGAAGTGAATAAAACAGTCTGTGTTTTGTTTCTTGTTGTTTTGAAGTTTTGCTTCAGACATGAAACTCAAATCTCCAAGAATAATCAAAAAAATTAAATCAAGGAGAGGATTGATATCTTGCGTATTTGACGCATTCTAACCCTTGTTTTCACGAGTTTTATCGAGTCTTTCTAGTCTTTATCGAGTCTTTTCAGGTCTAAAGACGTTCAGGGAGAGCTTTGGTCACATGGACCAACAACAGGCGAAAGCAGGCAAAAGGAGCGAAAAGGAGGTCGATCGAACCGTGTCAAGGACAAGACTCGATCGACCCCTACATGGCGAGAAGAATCGATCGATCCCGTTCCCCTACAGCCAACTCGATCGATCCCATGCAGAGCAAGCCAGCTCGATCGATCCCTGTTCTGTCTCAGCCGTTCGATCAACCCCGGTCAGATGATATCACAGCCGTTCGATCTACTTGGTGCAAACCGACTCGATCGAACCAGCGAACCGGATTGAACCGAAGTCGACCCCGGAGCTATTTAGACCTATCTTTAGCCATTGTTTAGGCTACGCCGTTTTTCAGAGTTTTACTGTTGTTCATTGTTTCTGAGGGAGAAGAGATCGAACCTCTGTTTTCACAGTTTGGAGAAGATTTCTGAACCCTTGTTTGCTATTTTCTTATTTGATTCAATGACATTCATTCAGTATTGTTTGCTGTTTCACCATGTCTGAGTAGTCATCCTGCTAGATCTAGGTTTTTCAAAGGGATTCATGTGTTAACTAGACTGAATACAGATAGGGCTTTAATACTGTCTTCGCCATTGTTGCTTACTGCTTAGATCGATCTGATCACTCGATCTCTGATCTCAGATTACCTGTTCATCAAAAGTGCAATAGGTTGTTAGAACGAACTGTGGTGAGCGAATCGTCCTTAGCCTGCGAAAGTTGATGCTAGGCGATTCGTGAACTTATCGAACCTGTGTTATTGCTTGCTTTCAATTGCTAGATTCAAACGACAGTTTAGACATCTAGGTTGTTAGTAAAGTTGTTATCGCGAAAGTGAATTGACATATTTTTGTTTGAGTTCGAGACCTGTTCTTTATCTGTGCCCTGAATAGTTGTTTGGTTGTTAACCGTGAATCTCTGCGAATTGCCTTGGTCTAGTCCTGTTTTATTGAATTACATCGTTTACATTCGTTACCTGTTACTAAAACCAATCATCTTTGTCTTAGCTCTGTTTTGAATCTCCTAGTTTCACAGTGTAACGCTGGTCCTCTGGATTTCGAATCCTTTATATTACAATCTTCATCACTGATAATTTGCAGTAGAGAAAATGACCTATTTCTAGTTTATCAAATTTGGCGCCGTTGCGACGGGGACCAATTCGTTACCTTTGATTCTTGATTTGAAATTTAGTCTAAGATTTACTAACTTGTTTTCTCTCGTTTTCTTGTGTATGTTTCAGGTGCATGAACACTAGATCTCGACGGAGCAACCGCAACGAAGAGCTTCTCATCCTGTCCAACGCAGAACTTGCGAGAGTAGAACGAGCAAACAGACAACGAAGGCCGAATCCAGCCGACATGGGCGATAACGGCAATCCGAACATGGCTGCTCAGTTGCAGCAGCTTCAGCAGCAGATCGAGCAGATGCGGAAGGCTCAACAAGATAGAGAACGCAACCTCGTCCTGCTATTGGAGACAAGGACAATCCGCACACCTTCTATCAAAACCGGTCTGCGATTGTCCCTCCAAACGTGCAGAGGCAAGACTTCGAGATCAAGCCCGGCATGATCGCTCTAGTCAAGGATCACATCTTCCATGGACTTCCTGCTGAGATTCCTGCGGACCATATCCAGAACTTTGAGGAGATATGCAGCACGACTGGTTCGAATGGAGTACCGGCTGACTTTCTGAAGTGCAAGCTATTCCCATTCTCACTTGCCAACAAAGCATCTCGCTGGCTGAAGTCATTACCACCTGGTCTTTGACTTCATGGGACCAAGTTAGAGCAGCTTTCCTGGACCACTTCTACACGAAGTCCAAGAATGCAGCTCTAGGACGAAGATCGCATCTTTCCAGCAGTATGATGAGAAGCTTTCTTCACGGATACTCTGACGAGCAGATCCTGAGCATCTTCTACGATGGAGTCAACTGGGACTACATGAATGCTTTGAACGCAGCCAGCAATGGCGATTTCATGACGAAGTCCAAGGAAGGTGCATTCGAGCTGATCGAGAATCTTGCAGCGAGCTCGAGCAACAAGAACGCTGAGTACGACAGGACAGTGAGCACTGTATCTGTCAAAGGAAGCAGTGCTGACGCGAAGAAGATTGAGGAGCTCACTGCGAAGGTGAATCTATTGATGAAGGCGCAGCAGAAGTCTGTTCATTTTGTTGACGAAACGATGATGCACCTATCTCTCAAGAGTTTGGAGGAGAAGAGGATGACGATGATCAGATGGAGGTCAACTATGTGAATGGGCAAGCTTTTGTGCCGAACCGTGGTTTCAACTCGAACTACAGAAACCATCCGAACATGTCCTACAGGAGCACCAACGTCGAGAACCCTCAGGATCAGTCTATCCGCCTCGATCGAACCAGAACCAGCAGAGTTATCAGAAGAGCTATCCTAACAGCTTCCAGGAGAAGACCTTTGCCCCAAACCAGAACCGTTCTCAAGGTGGTAACCAACAGAAGGCGCAGTTCAGCAATCAGCAACAACCTTCAGGTTCATCGAACAACTCGAACGATGAGCTTAAGGGTATGATGCAGCAGATGTTGATGAACCAGCAGAAGTCCACTGCGGAGACACACTTGAAGATAGACACCATGTACAACGATCTGAATGGGAAGTACGAGGCTGTGTGGACTCATGTGAAGAAGCTAGATGTCCAAGTCGCTCAAACCGCTGAAGCTGTGAAGAGACCTCATGGAACCCTTCCTGGGAAAGGAGAGAAAAATCCCAGGAATGAGTATGTTGCACAAGTTGAGCTGAGAAGTGGGAGGAAGCTATTACCTGCTGCGATTCCTCCGAAAAGGGCAGGCAAGGAGAAAGCCGACGAGAACTAGGAAGATGAAACAGAAGTCGATCGAGCTGCTTCGAGCGGATCGATCGAGCTGGTGATGACGCTCGTCGTCTCAGGACCCCGTAGCTGACCTACCTGCTCCTGCAGCTGCAGAGACTGCTCCAGCCAGAGCTTACACACCTAAGGTGCCTTACCCAGTTCCGCGGAAAAAGTCCAGAAAAGACTTGGAGGATGCAAAGTGTAAGGAGATGTTGAAGGACTTGACTGTGAAGCTGCCTCTGTCTGATGCTGTTCAGATGATTCCTGCTCTGAAGAAGTACATGAAGGAGCTGATATCTGGGAAAAGTAGCTGAGGATGAGAATGTCATGCTAGTATCAGAGGAGTGCAGCGCTGTGCTGCAAAACAAGGTGATCAAGAAGAGGAGCGATCCAGGAAGATTTGTCCTGTCAGTGCACATAGGCCGCATGACCTTCGCATGCTCCCATTTCATCAATAGGACCTTCGATAATATGTTGAAGAGGCACGGGGTGAAGCACAAGGTGGCGACTCCTTATCATCCCCAGACGAGTGGCCAAGTTGAGCTATCTAACAGAGAGATCAAGAACATTCTTCGGAAGACTGCAGGCACGACTAGGAAGGACTGGGCTGCGAAGTTAGATGATGCACTATGGGCCTATCGAACTGCCTACAAGACTCCACTTGGTACGACACCGTTCAACATAGTCTATGGCAAGGCTTGTCACCTGCCTGTGGAGTTAGAGTACAAGGCTGCATGGGCAGTGAAGCAAATGAACTACGACATGAAGTATGCGGCAGAGAGAAGGAACATGCAGGTGGTCGAGCTTGACGAGATTAGGCACCTGGCCTATGACAGTTCGAAGAGCTACAAGGAGCGGACCAAAGCCTATCACGACAAGAAGATCCGGAAAAGGAACTTTTCCCAAGAAGATCAAGTCCTGCTGTTTAACTCCAGGCTGAAGTTGTTTCCTGGGAAGCTGAAATCAAGGTGGTCTGGACCCTTCGTCATCAAGGAAGTCCGACCATATGTAGCTTTTGAGCTATGGGACAAGACTAGTGGACACTTCGTGGTGAATGGTCTAACGCCTCAAGCCATACCTTGCTGATACCGACGTCACAGAGAGGGAATCAGTTCCTCTCAGTGATCCATCCCCTGCCTAATGGGCATTCAAGTCAAGCTAGTGACTTAAACCAAGCGCTTGGTGGGAGGCAACCCACTGGTAAGTGTACATACTCTTTTTTCAATTTGATTTCCTGCTAACTTCGTTTTTCTTTTTGTAAAAAAAAAAAAAAGAAAAAAAAACCCGTCGGGTCGACCCACGTCTAAAGACGTCCCAGGGAGAGCTTCGGTCGCGTGGACCAACAACAGGCGAAAGCAGGCGAAATGGAGCGAACAAGAGGTCGATCGAACCACATCACAGTTCGATCGAACGCGTCAAGGACAAGGGACACGATCGAACCCCTACATGGCGAGAAGAATCGATCGATCCCGTTCCCCTACAACCAACTCGATCGATCCCATGCAAAGCAAGCCAGCTCGATCGATCCATGTCCTGTTTCAGCCGTTCGATCAACCCGGTCAGATGATATCACAGCCGTTCGATCTACTTGGTGCAAACCGACTCGATCGAACCAGCGAACCGGATTGAACCGAAGTCGACCCCGGAGCTATTTAGACCTATCTTTAGCCATGTTTAGGCACGCCGTTTTTCAGAGTTTACACTGTTTTTCATTGTTTCTGAGGGAGAAGAGATCAAACCTCTGTATTCACAGTTTGGAGAAGATTTCTGAACCCTTGTTTGCTATTTTCTTATTTGATTCAATGACATTCATTCAGTATTGTTTGCTGTTTCACCATGTCTGAGTAGTCATCTTGCTAGATCTAGGTTTTTCAAAGGGATTCATGTGTTAACTGACTGAATACAGATAGGGCTTTACTTCTTCGCCATTGTTACTTACTGCTTAGATCGATCTGATCACTCGATCTCTGATCTCAGATTACCTGTTCATCAAAAGTGCAATAGGTTGTTAGAACGAACTGTGGTGAGCGAATCGTCCTTAGCCTGCGAAAGTTGATGCTAAGGCGATTTGTGAACTTATCGAACCTGTGTTTACTGCTTGCTTTCAACTGCTAGATTCAAACGACAGTTTAGACATCTAGGTTGTTTAGTAAGGTTGTTAAGATCGCGAAAGTGAATTGACATACTGTTATGTTTGAGTTCGAGACTTGTTCGTCATCTGTGCCCTGAATAGTTTTTGGTTGTTAACCGTGAATCTCTGCGAATTGCCTTGGTCTAGTCCTGTTTTAATTGAAGTTTACATCGTTTACATTCGTTACCTTTTACTAAAACCAATCATCTTTGTCTTAGCTCTAATTCGATCTCCTAGTTTCATAGTGTAACGCTGGTCCTCTGGATTTCGAATCCTTTATATTACAATTTCATCACTGATAATTTGCAGTAGAGAAAAAGACCTATTTCTAGTCTATCAAGGATTAGAGTCGAAATCCGTGTGAACAAGTTTTTCACAGCAAAAACATTGATGAACATGGCTAACCAACCCAGATATACATTTATTTTTCTTTTATATATTATTCATTGTATTTTTTGTATGGCTAACTTTTATAAACCAACCTTTAATTTATGAACTTTCTCAAAAATTACTGGTTAAGAGAAAATGTTGAAATATTTATTTGGCGGGTTAAGCCAGGCCCATGTAGTAGTGCAATACATAGGCGACTCTCGAGAATCCAGATAGCAAGCTACCTTAATGGATTTTCTCCCTTAAAAAATAGAGTTAATATCGTGTGGGCCGATGACCCACATATCAGATATTAAACTGATAAGAACAGATACTACACTTGATCTTAGCCAAAAGGCCGAGAAAGGTATGATTTGTAAGTTGGCATAGATACTCTTTTTATACTACCAAGTTCTCCACCAACGCTTCTCAAGTTTACCGATGTGGGACTTATTAAATATTCTAAATAATCTTGAGAATTCATATTGAATTTCAATGAGCCATCTAAACCCAACTTTACAATTGGTGATAGACTATACCTTTCAAAATTATTATTTTCAACCGTGAAATGAATAAAACAGTCTGTGTTTTGTTTCTTGTTGTTTTGAAGTCTTGCTTCAGACATGAAACTCAAATCTCCAACAAGAATAATCAAAAAAATTAAATCAAGGAGAGGATTAGAGTCGAAATCCGTGTGAACAAGTATTTCACAGCAAAAACATTGATGAACATGGCTAACCAACCCAGGATATACATTTATTTTTCTTTTATATATTATTCATTGTATTTTTTGTATGGCTAACTTTTATAAACCAACCTTTAATTTATGAACTTTCTCAAAAATTACTGGTTAAGAGAAAATGTTGAAATATTTATTTGGCGGGTTAAGCCAGGCCCATGTAGTAGTGCAATACATAGGCGACTCTCGAGAATCCAGATAGCAAGCTACCTTAATGGATTTTCTCCCTTAAAAAATAGAGTTAATATCGTGTGGGCCGATGACCCACATATCAGATATTAAACTGATAAGAACAGATACTACACTTGATCTTAGCCAAAAGGCCGAGAAAGGTATGATTTGTAAGTTGGCATAGATACTCTTTTTATACTACCAAGTTCTCCACCAACGCTTCTCAAGTTTACCGATGTGGGACTTATTAAATATTCTAAATAATCTTGAGAATTCATATTGAATTTCAATGAGCCATCTAAACCCAAGTTTACAATTGGTGATAGACTATACCTTTCAAAATTATTATTTTCAACCGTGAAGTGAATAAAACAGTCTGTGTTTTGTTTCTTGTTGTTTTGAAGTCTTGCTTCAGACATGAAACTCAAATCTCCAACAAGAATAATCAAAAAAAAAATCAAGGAGAGGATTAGAGTCGAAATCCGTGTGAACAAGTATTTCACAGCAAAAACATTGATGAACATGGCTAACCAACCCAGGATATACATTTATTTTTCTTTTATATATTATTCATTGTATTTTTTGTATGGCTAACTTTTATAAACCAACCTTTAATTTATGAACTTTCTCAAAAATTACTGGTTAAGAGAAAATGTTGAAATATTTATTTGGCGGGTTAAGCCAGGCCCATGTAGTAGTGCAATACATAGGCGACTCTCGAGAATCCAGATAGCAAGCTACCTTAATGGATTTTCTCCCTTAAAAAATAGAGTTAATATCGTGTGGGCCGATGACCCACATATCAGATATTAAACTGATAAGAACAGATACTACACTTGATCTTAGCCAAAAGGCCGAGAAAGGTATGATTTGTAAGTTGGCATAGATACTCTTTTTATACTACCAAGTTCTCCACCAACGCTTCTCAAGTTTACCGATGTGGGACTTATTAAATATTCTAAATAATCTTGAGAATTCATATTGAATTTCAATGAGCCATCTAAACCCAAGTTTACAATTGGTGATAGACTATACCTTTCAAAATTATTATTTTCAACCGTGAAGTGAATAAAACAGTCTGTGTTTTGTTTCTTGTTGTTTTGAAGTCTTGCTTCAGACATGAAACTCAAATCTCCAACAAGAATAATCAAAAAAAAAATCAAGGAGAGGATTAGAGTCGAAATCCGTGTGAACAAGTATTTCACAGCAAAAACATTGATGAACATGGCTAACCAACCCAGGATATACATTTATTTTTCTTTTATATATTATTCATTGTATTTTTTGTATGGCTAACTTTTATAAACCAACCTTTAATTTATGAACTTTCTCAAAAATTACTGGTTAAGAGAAAATGTTGAAATATTTATTTGGCGGGTTAAGCCAGGCCCATGTAGTAGTGCAATACATAGGCGACTCTCGAGAATCCAGATAGCAAGCTACCTTAATGGATTTTCTCCCTTAAAAAATAGAGTTAATATCGTGTGGGCCGATGACCCACATATCAGATATTAAACTGATAAGAACAGATACTACACTTGATCTTAGCCAAAAGGCCGAGAAAGGTATGATTTGTAAGTTGGCATAGATACTCTTTTTATACTACCAAGTTCTCCACCAACGCTTCTCAAGTTTACCGATGTGGGACTTATTAAATATTCTAAATAATCTTGAGAATTCATATTGAATTTCAATGAGCCATCTAAACCCAAAGTTTACAATTGGTGATAGACTATACCTTTCAAAATTATTATTTTCAACCGTGAAGTGAATAAAACAGTCTGTGTTTTGTTTCTTGTTGTTTTGAAGTCTTGCTTCAGACATGAAACTCAAATCTCCAACAAGAATAATCAAAAAAATTAAATCAAGGAGAGGATTAGAGTCGAAATCCGTGTGAACAAGTATTTCACAGCAAAAACATTGATGAACATGGCTAACCAACCCAGGATATACATTTATTTTTCTTTTATATATTATTCATTGTATTTTTTGTATGGCTAACTTTTATAAACCAACCTTTAATTTATGAACTTTCTCAAAAATTACTGGTTAAGAGAAAATGTTGAAATATTTATTTGGCGGGTTAAGCCAGGCCCATGTAGTAGTGCAATACATAGGCGACTCTCGAGAATCCAGATAGCAAGCTACCTTAATGGATTTTCTCCCTTAAAAAATAGAGTTAATATCGTGTGGGCCGATGACCCACATATCAGATATTAAACTGATAAGAACAGATACTACACTTGATCTTAGCCAAAAGGCCGAGAAAGGTATGATTTGTAAGTTGGCATAGATACTCTTTTTATACTACCAAGTTCTCCACCAACGCTTCTCAAGTTTACCGATGTGGGACTTATTAAATATTCTAAATAATCTTGAGAATTCATATTGAATTTCAATGAGCCATCTAAACCCAAGTTTACAATTGGTGATAGACTATACCTTTCAAAATTATTATTTTCAACCGTGAAGTGAATAAAACAGTCTGTGTTTTGTTTCTTGTTGTTTTGAAGTCTTGCTTCAGACATGAAACTCAAATCTCCAACAAGAATAATCAAAAAAATTAAATCAAGGAGAGGATTAGAGTCGAAATCCGTGTGAACAAGTATTTCACAGCAAAAACATTGATGAACATGGCTAACCAACCCAGGATATACATTTATTTTTCTTTTATATATTATTCATTGTATTTTTTGTATGGCTAACTTTTATAAACCAACCTTTAATTTATGAACTTTCTCAAAAATTACTGGTTAAGAGAAAATGTTGAAATATTTATTTGGCGGGTTAAGCCAGGCCCATGTAGTAGTGCAATACATAGGCGACTCTCGAGAATCCAGATAGCAAGCTACCTTAATGGATTTTCTCCCTTAAAAAATAGAGTTAATATCGTGTGGGCCGATGACCCACATATCAGATATTAAACTGATAAGAACAGATACTACACTTGATCTTAGCCAAAAGGCCGAGAAAGGTATGATTTGTAAGTTGGCATAGATACTCTTTTTATACTACCAAGTTCTCCACCAACGCTTCTCAAGTTTACCGATGTGGGACTTATTAAATATTCTAAATAATCTTGAGAATTCATATTGAATTTCAATGAGCCATCTAAACCCAAGTTTACAATTGGTGATAGACTATACCTTTCAAAATTATTATTTTCAACCGTGAAGTGAATAAAACAGTCTGTGTTTTGTTTCTTGTTGTTTTGAAGTCTTGCTTCAGACATGAAACTCAAATCTCCAACAAGAATAATCAAAAAAATTAAATCAAGGAGAGGATTAGAGTCGAAATCCGTGTGAACAAGTATTTCACAGCAAAAACATTGATGAACATGGCTAACCAACCCAGGATATACATTTATTTTTCTTTTATATATTATTCATTGTATTTTTTGTATGGCTAACTTTTATAAACCAACCTTTAATTTA